ATGACCAGCAGCATCAGAAGACAAACTGCCCTCTGCACTCCTGACTGCTTTCTTCTGATAACTGACTTCAGAGAGTCAATGCAGTGGAAAATCCCATGCTCTGTCTGGCATGTCTAATCCAGCTGGCTAGTGCTGTTATGGACATCACCTGCAGGCAAGATCAACGTGATCAACACGCTGTGTAAAACTCTGCTGCACCACCCTGTGAGCTGGGATACTCTTCTCCTGTTACACAGGGAGCTTGTATGGCTTGTAGTTTATCAAACAACAACAAAAAAGGGTTGTTACAGTACAAGGGGGTCTCTCCTTCAGGTCCTTCCTGTAGATGCACTGTGCTGCTCTGTAACTGAAAATGATCCTCATCCCATCAGTCTCCACCACTGGTGCCTGTTACACCAATGTGTCCCATGCTTGACAACAAAATAAGCATAATTATTTACTTAGAGCTAGAATCACAGAAGGACAAAGCTCTAAAACAGTCACCACTGCAACATCCTGTGGTTTTGGAGGTGCCTAGTCCCTGAATGGAACACTGTACTGTGTACAGCATATGAGGAGACCCAGGCTTCACAGAAGGGATCTCCTCACTGACAGCACATCCTATAGCCTCTGCCTTCTGGTTCAGGCTCTTTTCTTTCTCATTTCCCTCTGTCCCCTTCTTACATTTTGGCAAGTTCTTCTCCCCAGCCTATGAAAGCCTGTAGCAAGGCTCAGTCCACACCTCTGTGCCTGCTCCAGGGTGTCTGCTGCTGCTCCAGCAAGCCCAGCTCTGCAGCATGTGCCGTGGCACGATGGGCAGCCCTGCAGAGTGGCCCAGAGAGACCCGGGCGTCTGTGCCAAGTGCAGTAGAAGCCCACTCTTGGCATCACTGAATAAGCACAACGTGCCCACACTTTGTTTTTTGTTAATATCCAACCCAAAATAATTCGTTCATATTTTATAATAAAAAAGAACTCTGCATAAGAATATTATTTTATTTGCTTATTTGAGAAGTGATTGATTTCCCCTTTAGGATTCTGGGAGTGCTGACTTTTGTACAGGGTTTTTTTTTTTGAGTAAAATATAAACTACACTGCTGGAAAGTGTTTCCAGCATTGTGAGACAGCCATGACTTAGAATCTGGGATAATGTGGGAGATTGAAGCTTTCCCTGCATAAACTTGTGCACCAAGGTGTGTCTGGTAGTCTTTCACAAATGCAGCCTCACTCTCGGGTAGCTTGGCTGGATTAATCATTTACTGGCCTGGCCTTGATAAACCCTAGGAGATTTCCCAGGTCTAGTGACACCTCCTACAAGAACCTGATATCCACCGTGTCAGGACTGCAGGGTAAGAAAACATGAGTTCAAGCATGAAAATTAATCAGTGTAGATAACAGGGGAAAACTCATGTCACCTAACTTTGTAGACTCCTTTATCTAGTGCAGCTGTCTAGTCTCTTTTAAATAGGTCTAAATCCAGGAGGAATCTCTCACCATGCACTTGAGCTACAGCTGATATCTAAACTACTGGAAAAGAAGCTGTCCCAGGGGAGGCAGTTAAAAGTTCAGATGAAGCCAGTCCTTTCAGCCTTCCTTTAGGGGAAGGGCAGAGGATTAGGAGTAATTAGTGGGTCATTTGTCCTGACACTGACTTTTCTTACCCTATCTGAGGGGTAAGATTTCATCAAGATTTCAGGCACATCCTCTTCAACACAGTTGCTACCCTAAACAGACAAGAAAGATACAACACAGCCTGTCTCCTAACTTAACAAGACTATTGGAATATCACCTCACTGAATTTTAATTTTTTTTTTTTTTTTGAAAGCTATAGAAGTCCCATTTGTATCTTGCATGATGCCTGAAGGCATCTGATCTCCATAAGACTGTCTAGGTTCAGGTTGACCATACAGGAGTTGAAAGAGGGGAAATGTCAAAGATACCCAAACAACTTAGGGGTGAATATTCACCCTAGCTGCTGCTGTTGCCCTTGAGCCTGTTTCCTTTTATCTTCTTCCTTTAAAACAATAAAGTATAAACTTTTGTTTTTTCTTAATTGTACTTTCAGACATGATGCTGATTTCTTGACAAAGCATGGGAAAATTTTTTTGCCATCAGGCTTTGTGAACTTTTCTCTGTATAAAACATATCAGAATTAGGTTAATTTGGATTGGAGCTGTGTTCAAAATGATAAGCAAATATTTGAAATGTACTTGCAAGAGAAATAAGTGCACAAAACAAACTGTTGTGCCTGTGTACTGTGTAGTAGCAAGAGGGACAGGGACTGTAGAGAGGGGAGCCTCACCTGTGGCTAGTGTGACCTGTTGGGATACATCCAGTCCTGCCTTGCTGCAAAAATAAAGTGCAGCTCCAGTGTTTCATACTATTTACAAAAAAAAGATCCCTTTTTTGTTTTGTTTTGTTTTCCAAAATGGCACTGCTGGTGTTCAGCACACTTGAAAAACACTTGACTCTTTCTCTGTATATAAAACCTAATATTTTTATTTTAAAGTCAATAGAAGCTTAACCTCTGTTGCTCTGTGTTCTGTCCTACAGCTGTAGAAATAAACCACCTCTGTCTTACCTGAGTGTGCAAAACAGATTGAATGTTCCTTCCACAACAATTCATTCTTAAGAAATAATGTATTTGAAACACAAATATGTGAAATGCTGCGAAGATCATACACAAGGTTTGAAATAGTTGATTTACGAAGAAAAATAATCGGTTTTGCAAGGAAAACTTCGCAGAGAGATCTTAAAAAATCCAATCCACCCACAGGCCTCAGTTTAAAGATGGTAACATTGACTGCATTTTGACCTTTTACATGTGGGTAAGCGAGTGATGTACCAACCAGCTCACAGTGATCCCATCTTCACGCTCAGAGCCCATCCTGTGGCTGAGCACGGGGCGGGGCAGCCACATGGAGGTGTACCTTACCAGGGAGGGGCAGTGGCTCTCCTCTCGGCCGGCACAGAGGTGGCTGGTGACACGAGGCGGCAGCGTGCACCGCAGCGCTGCAGCCAGGGGGCAGCTCGCCCGTGCCACTGCCAGCTGCTGACAAACAAACGCAGGCGCCTTGCCTGTAGAGTCCAGTCTTGGGGATTTTACAGGAAAGGCAAACTCTACCAGCAACTGCTTGAGACCTGCTGCTTTCACTTCTTAGGGAACCAGGACGAGACAAAGCACTGACAGACAGGTTGGCACGGGGGCTGGTATCACACATCTGAGCGCTTGGGTGGCTTGAGGAATCATGGCTCAGAGCACTGGGTGGGGAAGGCCAGCGCAGATTTCACTGGCCAAGTGAGGAGCTGTCTCCAGAAGACATCTTTCAAGACATCCTGTGACCCCAAAAGAGTTAGGTAGTCACCATCAGATAGATAGATGGTGATGCAGATCCACTCCTCTTTTCAGCCCGAGTTGACCCTGACATCAGACCTGGGGGTCTTTTGGGTAGAACATTCTTCATTGCTTACACTGGATCAAAGTCACTTTCCAAAAAACCTTAATAACTTAAATAGTTTTTTAGGCTAGAGATAATGAGCATGACTCACTAAATGATCAGTGAACTTACCTGCACAAGGAGAGGCTGCTAAGAGAAATTTAGGCAACTTCATTATATCTTCAATGCACCTGAGCTCTCCTAGCCATGAAAGCTGTGCTGCTCCATGGGTTGCCATTGCCACTCTATAAATCACCTCCACTATTGCAGACAGACCTCACCGAGAGGAGCTGTGACCATCTTGGTCACTGGTCCCACCACATTACCACAAGGGCAGGTGGAGCCCCACAGTGCCACCAAAGCAGCAGCACCTCTAGGCTGCCTGCATTTCATTCTGTGCACAGGGGCCACTCAGGCTCATTTTTACCCTCTGGAGTTCTCTGAAGATCATGTCAAAAATAAGGTAGTGCCATGGCACAGGCACTGGAAGATGTCCTCTGTGTTACTGAGGCTTGCTCAGGGGTTATTGTTCTGTGCCTGCTGCTCTCTCCCAGATGAATCCCAGCCACAGTCAGTCCACAACAGGGCCCAGCTGCAACAGGCTGTGGATGTGGTTACACAGCTTTGGGTAATAAAAGAGTTTAATATTGTGTTTATGGCCTGAGAGCCAGGGAACAAAGCTTGGTACTTCTTGATTTCCTAGGCCAAAAAGAAGTTAGCCAGTGATGTCCAGAACTGGGGCTAGGAAGCAATTGAGAGTCCCGCAAAATGGCATACGAATGCACAGAAAGAAGCATGAACAGATATTGAACTGATCATCTGTTTGAGGAGGTAGCTCTGCCATCCTCATCCTTTGAGGAGGTCCACAGTGTGAAGAGGTGCACAGACTACAATGCACTAGAAATAAACTAAAGTGCCTGGAAGAATCACATTAAAAAGGTAAAGGATGAACATAATGGAACATTGTAAGAGCTAGGAAGTGAGAGAAACCATAGAAATTTGGCTTTGGTAACAGCAGATGAAACTAACACTAAATTAGAAGTTTCACACACAGTACTGTAAAAATAATGCAATATAGGTACCCGCTCACCCAAACTGCTCTTGAAAAAAGACTGATTCTTTAAAGGATAATGATTCAGTGAGTCTTCTTCTCTTCCATAGCTCTTATTGTGAAGCCTATTTTCATCCAGAAAATGTCTTCTTCAATAAGTTACATTCTGACAATACTAACACTGTCTTGGTCTTTTCCCAAGAGAATTAATTCTCTACCCTAAAAATATTTCTTTGCTTCCATACTCCTTTGCTTTTATGTTTTGCCAAACATTTGATAGCAATAAAGACAAATCTGCTGTCACGTTGCCAGAGTAATCAGAATGCTTTATTTTGGTTTGGGGTTGTTTTGTTGCATTGGGTTTTTTTGTTTGTTTGGTTGTTTTTTTTTAACTATTTGCTTTAACTACAGTGATACTAATTTACTGAGCTTCCTATTTCCATTGGCTTCATGTTTGGGTTTTTGTGGGTTTTGTTGTTTTTTGGGTTTTTTTCTTCAGTATTTTGGGTGTCACTGAAGATAGCAGGACATTCATTACTTAAAAACCTTCAACACAGTTTCTACATAACGTTCATCTGGTGGGGGTTTCCTTGGGCTGCCAGGCTGCAGAAACTTCTTAATTGTTGGCATATTACTCATTCTTATTTTAAAAGCCTAAAAAATAAAAACAACACAGTAAGAGTTAAATTCCAGCTACTCCAGTAGCATACAGTGCTCCTTGCATTGAACGACTGCTCCTCCCTGCTGGTAGAAAAGATCCTAACATTCACTCAGATCTCGTGCCATCTACACAGTCTCCTGTCCAACATAAGTTCCCAGCTGCTGCAAAAAGTCTGTTCTTAACAATGAAAGTAGTACTGGAGCACACAGTAACTGAATCCCCACTGCTTGAAAGGAACTGAAGGCAAAAATTCAATATTCAGGAGCACCAGAGGTTTTGAAGGTACAAAAACAGTAACTCAGCTCATGACCTTTTCCTTTTCATTGCTGGTTCTGATGGTGCAAAATACCACGTGGGCAAAACATGATGTATATAAAAATTATTTTAATTTTTATTACATTATCTACATATCTGAGCTCTCTTTGTACCTAGCATAGCCACTGCTGTTCCAGTATGCTAGCTTTTCTAGGATTTTGTGGGTGAAGGTGAAATGGCTGGAGACATCCTTGGCTCAACTCATTTGTCCTGTAGAGGCATCTCGTACTGTGTTGTAGCCTAGGGTCCCCAGAATATCCACATAGGACTGGCAGATATAACACAGCCCCCTGGGAAGATCTGTTCCCTTCTGGAGCAGTGGCTGGAGGCCAGGGCTAGGATCAGGCAAGAGCTGGGCATCTCAGGTGACAAGAGATGCCTCTGTTAAGGCAACTGAGTCAAGGATGCTGAAACATCTTATCGTACAGACAGTCAGAGAGGACTCACTGATGCAGATTGCAAGCAGCTGGAGACCCCATGTTGAGCTGAGGAATCTTAGATGCCCAAGGACCTCTTCTAACAATGGGGCAAAGGGAGAGGAGATTCACAGAGCAACAGCCAGCTCTCCCTGGCAGATGTATGAACATAATTTCCTCTTCCTTAAAGGCACTAGAAGGATAAGGCAGAAATAGAAGAAGGAGCAAGAAAAGTGAAGACTGAGATAGGTAGCCACATTTTTAGAACTTACTCCCTTGTAGTGGTGAAGGAATCCCTCCATAATTTAAGGCATGGCTTCAACAGAGCTGTGTCCTTACCTAGTGGCTAAGATACCTTGCTAGAAGATGGGAGCAGGAGGCAATAATTACCTGAGGCTGCAAAACTGCATACAGGACACAATCTGAGACAGTTAACTGCCCACTTTGTGGCTGAGGTACCTCATTCTAGCACACTACATCCAGGCTTAAACTGTTGGGGTTGAAATTTAAAGGTTTGGGTTTTGTTTTTTTTAAGTAATTTAAAAAATCAAATCAAAGCCCTTTTCCTCAGCAGTTCCAAGCAGAAAAACTAACTGTTGTAGTCTGACGCTGAACTGTTTCTTTTGCTACTGGTAATAAAGCCAAAGTCTTTGAGTTCATCCCTCAGATTAAGTTTGTAAGCTGTAAGAAGCATGACCTCAAGCCTTGCAAACACAACTCAAATGTGTATTGCCCCCACTGCTTTATGATCATAATTGCAGGCATGTGGAAGGACTACTGAACACTACCTGCTTATTTCCTGTCATGGACTACTTGGGTCCACTGTATCTCAGCTCTTAATGACTGCTGCAGGTCATGTCCCAGGCTCGTTCATGCACTGTATTCTATAACATGCTGCATGCCTGGAGTCTTCTGGTTCTGATCAAGTCTCACAGCAGAAGTGCCTCATTTCTGCCTGGTTTCAGACTTTGTGCATGGCACAAAAGCAGAGAATTCATCCTTGTTTGTTGATCATTGAAAGAAAAATTTAACTTAATGCTAAAGGCTTGAGGTTCTAGTTATACTGTAGAAGGCAGAAGTGAAGCAAGGTTACCGAGATCCCAAAATTGTAATACCAGCCAGTACAGAAAAAGGCACATCATACCTTATTCTAACAGATCAACCTGTGTCACAGACTTAATTTATAGCAGGATATTACTGGCAGGAAGCAGGAAAATGAAAACAGGGCAGGTTTGATAAGTGGTTCCCTTGAGATGATATTATTTCTGTTGAGGTGGCATATACCACTCAAAGAGGGACAGGCATAACTGAACAGGGTTTATCAGGAGCACAATATCTCACAACAAACCAACTAAAATTAGTTCCCTCTTGTGCTCGACATTAAGCAAACATACAATAGTGATAGTTGCTCAAAGAGCCCACCCCCTGGTTCACATAGCATGGAGACCAGCACTTCAGGATTGCCCCCAGCTCCTGAGTACAGGCATGTTCAGTGACAAAGTTACCTGCAGCTGAGGAAATCCTGACAACACGGCAGGTATTTTCTCCTCCACTGCTAAAATGGCTTCAATTAGCTGAACATCTGCCCAGCTGAACTTGTTGCCCACGAGAAAGTCTTGGCCATGCTGTTTCAAAACCTGTAGAAACAAGGGATTGTGGGCTGCAGATGAGAAAGGGACAAGTGACGCGTGGCAGCTGAGCCTCACAGCGCAGCTGCAGAGCTGAACAGGGATTATAGCTGAGATTTTAGGGTGGAGTTTTCAGCTGGAAGCTGTGAGCCAAAATAACTTCATTATTATTGCGAAAAAATCCAAACTCATGTAGTACACAGACTACAAAATTTGGTCACTCAGTAATGATGAGTGATGGTAGGCACTGGGAACAGGGACAAAACCATGTGCTTAAGTAGAATCATAACAGTCATAGAATCAGAAACAGGGATAATGGAGGAACTAAAGAGTAACTTGCAGAATTTATAAAATTAACTGTAAATGAAATATCCAAATGCCACGTTCAATGTTGACACCAGGAAGCAAACTTGGAAATGCAGAATTACAATAGCTAACTAAAGAAAATCCCTGCCTTTGGGAATAAGTTACTATAGTCATAAGAGCTTCCAGCCTTTATTATTGTTTTCCATCAAAACTAGATGAATGTTACAAAAGCGAGAAATGTTGCCAGATGCCTGAGTCATGTGGGCTTGCTCTGTTGTTTTCAAAAGTGGGATATGCAGAAACCTGTGACTGTTGTTTTACTGAAGTACTCCTAATCTCTCTACCTGATTTATTTACAAGGGATTTTTGCATTCTTCTAGTGAAAATTTTCCAACTGAAATTAAGTACTGCAGAGAGATGTGCTCGAAACAAAAGTGTGGAACTATCATCTAGAGGAACAGAGAAATCATACATGCTTGCTTTTACTTTAGTGAAAGGTTTTGCTGTATAGCTGAGAACTTATAGCTTTCTTTGCTTTGCAGATGTTCAAATACCTGACAACACAAGCCAAAAAATAGAGAACATGTGCCACTGTATTTCCCCTTCTTTGAGAGAACCAGAAAAGCTGAGGATTTGGAGATGACCTGCACTACAAACACGTTCTTATTTTGGGAAACTTTTTGATAATTATAACTGCAAGTTTTATAGACATCTTCCCTGTAACTTACCTTTTCAAAGACCGGGAAGTACCTGTTAGTTGCTCTCTCCTTAATTGAGTCAAGAGTTTTCTCCTTTGTCTCAGGCGAGGAGAAAGGAAACATCAAAATCATTTGCATCAGATCTGTTATTCCTTCCACATACATGTCAATCCTGTCGGTGGGGGGAAAAGGGTAGAAAACAGCACAGAAGTTATTTCATCTGTTTTCCAGCTGACTAAGGCAACTATTAATTGTAGACATCACAGTTCAAATTTTCACAGCCAAAACTACACAAACTAAACCTAAATATTTTTTTAGAGGACTAAAAGCCCATTTCTGTTCAGCAGCATTTCAGAAGCAGTGGTTAAAACCTAAGCAAAGGCTAGAATCCGGGCTTTTTGTTGTGTTAATCTTTCTAATGCCTTTCTCCTGGATTTACAGGATTAAATTTCTTGTATATAATACAGCTATCAAATAACAGATTGCTCATTAAGTGAAAGGAGGTGTTACAGTACAGGGCTCTCTCCTTCAAGTCTTTCCCATAGAGGTTGTATTTCCCTGCTATGTAGCTGAGGATGGCTCTGGTCTGCACCATCTTCATCCCATCCATCTCCACCAGGGGCACTTGCTGGAACAGCAGGACTCCATCTAGAGAAGAAAGTTGAGGGAAAGCTTGTTAGTTCCTCCTCGACTGCTCATTTTGCAGGAGAGCAAGAGACAGAACACTTTTCTTTTGCAGTGTAGGAAAACACTGGTGTCCTAACTGTGAAACTCCGTGCAGTAAACTAGGATTGTGGGAAAGACCAAATACTGACTGGCCTGCATCCCACTGCTGTCGCTAGGCCATCACCGTGCAGCGGGCCCCTTGCTGACAGCATTGCCAGAGCTTCACTGCCTGATGGGACCTGGCACCGCCTGCTCCTTGGCACTTCTGGACACTTCCTCATGATGGCAGGAAACACCTGAACCAGCACTTTGAACCCAAGGGATCAGAGAAGAATGTGTTCAATTTCAACTCAAAAAAAAAAAACCCAACCAATTATTTGCAATGCAGAGCAGTTCTTGTCAGGGACATAGAGCAAGACTGAGCTACTGGGATCAAGGAAGAGGTCAGGCCACTTGAGACATTATGAAGCTACAGAGTTCAAGGCAGAGACTGTGACAGCAGTTGCTATTTAAGTTTTACGTAGTCACTCCAGGGACAAGAGCTTGACAGTCCCCAGAGATTTTATTACAGAGCTGTCTTCAGTGTCGTTCCAGAACAATTTAAGCCTATTTAGATACAACTTTGTAGTCCCCTTTTCTGCTGGTGCTGGTAGGAGCATTTGGCCAAGCCCTCAGTGTGGCAGCTCCGGGAGCTAAGGTGACAGAGAGATTCTGCATACCAAAGTCAGCCTTTTCTAGACCAGGTTTCTGCTGGAGTAATTCCCTGTGTCTTCAGAGACACTGCCTCCTTCATTTACACATTAAGGGCATCCAGAGAACAATCCCACGCTGTTAAAATCACAGCAAAATTCTAAATCAAACACAGCAGCTCCCACTTTGCATTGCTCAAAGTTAATAATTTCTTTTAATTGATCAATTTTAACCTGTTCAGTCCAGGTGTAAGGGTTCATCTTAACTGGCTCATCTTGTTTGTTTTTCTCCACAGACCTATTAAATGCTTTGCTAGTCTAGAATTATAAACATTCTTCACTCATTCTATGTTGTTAATTTACAGTTTAAATTCAAAGAGTAGTTCTCTCTGCAGCAACAAATAGCCCATGTTCGGTTTTTGTAAACATTGACCTTAAGATCCTGTGTCTGTGTCCTTCCAGAACATGCCTCTGCAGCTTAAGGAAGAAAGATTACTTGGTATCTGTCTACCAGAAACACATGATGGTCACCAATGACATCTTGGAAATGGCTCTTGGCCTGGGACAGCTCCCAAATAAGAATCTTGCTTTGGGAAGTGCTATTGGCCCTAGACCAAAAATGTGCCAGGAGTCATGCTAACGATTCAACAGCATAGGTATTTAAGTGGGATTCATGTGTTACAATAAACACAGTCACAGAAGCTATAGCTTTTAGCTCAAAAGAGTTGTTTGGCACTGGAAATAACAGGTTGTTCAAAGCTAATTATTTCAGTATTCTAGCTGTGCACCTAGAAGTTTTCACTGTTTCAAATAAATTGATTTTAAACCACATAAATTTGCCAAGTCAGAGGAATTTTTTGAAGGACTAAGCCTCAGGTGTTGGGATTCTTACCTTTGATTAGCTTTTGATACTGCTCTTTTGTTTCCAGAAAAACTTCTTCAAACTGGAAAAGTAGAGAGAATATCATTACATTGCTGTATTTGAACATTTTTATTCTGTAAGTGACTGCAACAAAACCCTGTGCAAAAGCTAATGGGCCCGATCTTCAGCTGCACTGTCCCCCATGTGCCCTCAGAGCTGGGGAGGAGCAGAAGGGCCTGGCCAACTCTGCCTCAGGGAAATGGGTCAGAAATAACTTAAGTGCAGATAGAAATGGAGTATAGACATCTACAGGAGGAAGACAGGTTGTAGCCAGTGCCAAAGAAAACGAAATAAATCAACTATTTCTAACCCCACCCCAGAGTGTGTAAGTCAACAAGACTCTTTTGTTTATACAGATTGTAATTGCAAACTAAATAAAAATTATTTAAGGTGCTTTTGCACAGCTGGCAAGCTCAGATTGATTAAGAGCCTTTGGATAAATCACTATTTTGACCCACTATTATTAATGACTTCAGGGGACGGATACTAGCTTTAATAAACTCCAAGCTCCTCTGAGCTTGCGTCCCAAATATTACCGACCAAACAAGGTAGTTACAGACATGTAGAGCCACTGGCCAAACGAATTTAGCCACCTCCCTTTCAGTCATTTATTCTCCATGTGCACGTTAAATTGTTCCTTATTGAGGCCAGTTGAAAGCATCAGTCTGGAACACTGTACCAAGTGTCAACCAACCTCCACGCCGGCTGCTGCCAACAGCCATCGTACTGGCTCCATTCTTCCCCTTCCATTGAAGTAGGTCAGCCTGGGCTTCCCCGACATGCTGCTGAGCTCCTGCTTCCCTGAAAAACATTAAGCAGAAAACACTGTATCATAAAAATGGTGTAAGTACCATTATTTTGAGGGGACAGACCCTTTTATTCTCACTATACCCGTTGAAGTTTAAACTTCATCTGGTATAAAACAAAAAATGAGATGGACCAGTGACACCACACAGCCTGTGCTAGGAGAGGAAAGATGTACAGATCTGTACATTCCCCAGTGTTACTGAGAGAGGTTTGTTATGATTGTAAGCAAACATAGACACCTTTAAACAAATGGTATGAGTCCTGAGCTACAGGCCTTGATGTGTTTTAAGACAATTATACAAAGACATCAAAAATCCTACCACATTCTCAGGGCAGTTACTCACCCTCACTGCCATCACCCTCATTGAAAAGATGAAGAAAAAGAAAACACGTTTTACTGTTATGCTGAAATTTGTCTAGTCTTGTTTGCCAGAGATTGGACAACATTTTGCAGCTTTGTGTGCCATCCACTTCTTTCCCCAGGTTTCCTTGGAGGTCCTATCGAACAGCTGCAGCCCATTTCCTGCTGCTTATGGCAGCCTTGAGGTTTCTCTCAAAGCCAGACCTGGAACCTAGCTGCACTGGCTTCAGGTGCCCCAAAAAGTCTCCCCCAGGGCACTGGAGAGGTGCATGCCCAGGGGACTGGCATGCTGGAGGCTGTCTGAAGCTTGCTGTGACAGCACCTCTCTCCAGGCTGAGCAATGGAGCGTGCAGCAGAGAGAGCACATCTGCACTGAGCCGTTTCATGTGTAGGGACAGCCAGCTGGACCACTTGTGCTGGAACTCAAGTACAAGTCTCTGCAAATTCAGGCCTTCATTTTTCTGTGTTTCATTGCCCTAATTACAAAAAAGAAACAAACTGGGACTAGCATTCCCCCTTCACAAATATGTCAGTATCACACACTAACAACTGGGAGAAAAAAAAGCATTAAAATTAGTATCCTAATAGTATTCTAATGGCTCAGAAACCAGAGTAGAGTGCCTGATTAAAAAAAAAAAGTAATTTTACAGATGACCCAGTTTTCTCTAGAGCTAGAAGCCAAAGATGCAACTGTACAACCACATGACATTTCCCATTCAAATCAGGTTCAGTATGCTCTAGTGATGTTTTCTTCATGTTACAATGCTTTGTAAGTGAACTTAAAATAAGGTACATTTGGAAAATAATTTTGCCAGATTTCACTTTAAAGAACAATCAGACTGAGAGTTCTTCTTTGAGAAATTGTGGTAAGAACCAAGTCATGTTACTACAATAAACAGGAATATTTGGAGTAATTTAGACAATATAAGCCAACTATAAAGGAAAAAATTATCACCTCCTGTTTTAAAGTGTGAATAGCTGTTACTAATTACAATGTTTTACCTCTAAGACAGTGGCTTCATTAGTTTCTGCACGTTGTGTGACTAGCTGTCACTAAATGGCAGCAGAGCTTATCTGTGTAGCTCACAGCAGCTAGCTAGTGCCACTTTCGTTATCACACTTCTCAAATATGTTGCATCTGTATCATTTCAGCACACATTGCTCCAATTTGTAATGTGCAGAAACTTTCAGTAAATAAGACTTTAACTAAAACAGCCAAAGACTACAGAATATGACTAAAAATATGGAACTCAATCCTCTGGGAAAATTTATTGTTTGCGGAACAAAAGCAGAGGGAGCGAAAAGCCTTAGGTATAGTTTTATCATTTTACATGAACAAGAAATTCTATATGACATTAAATTAAGTGAGAAGAAAAATGACAAAAAGACAATAAAAACCTGTCATCAGTTTCTTTTTTTTTTTTTTTAATTAAGAGCAACTCTGTCAGCTGAAGTGAATTTTAATTGTTTTAAACTTCTGACAGAAAAAAACTTGGTTTTTGGTAATGTCTCCTCAATGCTGTCAAAGTCTCCTCAGCCCTGAGTTCCTTCAGGACTTCACTCAGTCCTTCACTATTTTTCTAAAATTTTAGTAAAAGATTTGCAGGATGTTGTGTTTAAAAACCAATTAATCCATTTTTGATACAATGTTGATGATTTATTAGTAGGCAAGGAATCTTGTATGGCTGACACCCATTCCTTACTATTTGCTGCAGCTGAAAAGGGCCATCAGGCCTCTCCACATAAGTTACAACTTTGATAAGAGAAGTGTAGAATGTTTGGGTTACATTCTCCAACAAAAGGAATGGTGTTTATCTGGAAACCTTACTAAAATAATTCCAAAATCTCCCCTGGCCAGTTACTAGAAACAAACACCATTGTAGGAGCTGTAGGACTCTGCCACCCCTGGACAGCTGCTTTTGAGGAAATGGCAAAACTCCCGAGACTGATTATTAATCAGGATGCTGAAGAACCACTTCACTGGCGTAGAAGTACTTTATAGGGGTAAAGACACTCAAGCTTTTGAAGCGAGCTGTGCCTGCCCGGGACTGCCAGACTTGAATAAACCATTTACCTTGTTTGGACAAGAAGGGCAAGGAACAGCCTCTGGGACAGGAACTAACATGCTGAACCCTGCTGATCTAGTCCCTTCACCTGGAGAAGGAACTTCACATCATGACTGTGGAGTAACCAACCATGAAGCCAAAAAGACTCAAGAAGATTTAACAGGTGTGCCATTTCTGAATCCCAGTCTGGAATTTGTTGGCAGGTCCTCGTACTATCTGAGGAACAACGGGTTTACGGGTTATTCAGTAACTACTTTGAATGAAGTAGTGGAAGCTTCACCACTCAGTCTGAAGATGAGTACACGTGCAGGCAAATTAATTGCACTGAAAAGAAGGTCTATCAGCTGGCAAAAGAAAACCCCAACCTGTAAATATCTATGCGGATTCTCAATATGCATTTGAAATACACCATGCTACTAGGTAGTTATGGAAGCTGCATGGCTTTATAACTTCTAGTGGAAGTAAAATATCAAATGCACCACAAGTTAATGAACTGTTAATAGTTACACAATTGCCAGAGAAACTTGCTGTCATTCATCAGCCAGACCATACCAGCAGAAGGACAAAAGAAGAAATAAGAAATAGTCTAACAGATTTTGCTGCTAAAGCCACAGCACGACAGCCATACGAACTACCAGGCTTAAGAGCAGTCCAGTGGTCTGACCTGGTGTTGTTTGCTCCTGAAAAGATGTGTTTGACTGTCCCTGCTGAAAGGCTTGACTCCTGCAGAACATACAAGCAACCAAAGTCTCCCTGGGAATTCGGAGAGCAGATATGGAAAACCTTCCTATTTTATGTAAGCAATACCCAATTCCCGTAACAAAAATACATCACCATCTAGGGAATTTTGGGACTGCTGCACAATTCTTCAGACATTGCTGAAGAATTGGTTCATGGCAGCAACCAGCGCTGCAGCCAAATAAAAAACAACATAAGAATATCTTGTATGCATTACCATAGCCATAATTAATATTTAGCAAAGTCTTCAACTCAAAATTTGTCCATATACAAATATTTGTACTGCTTTTGTCTAAACTTCATATTTCCGTGCTATTTCCTAGTGAGGCTTTAATAAAATGCCTGCCCTGAATTTCTCTGAGGATGCTTCTCAGCGATGTAAGACCCATTTAGGAGGGAACAGTCTTTCAGAAGCAGCATTGTCTGCATTGAGTGTGACGTGCCCTCTAGCCCTGAGGCTGGGAGCAGAGCCCAGTGTACCAAACGGGCCAGCTTTGCCCGTTCTCAGACCCAGAAGAAACCACCACGGTGCCAGAGGCTTGCACTTTGTTCCCCCACTCACCTTTGCCTTCCCACCCCTTCTCCCCTCAGTGGTTTCACAGCTGCCTTGCTCAGCTCTGAACTGCACTGCAGGGTTAATGTCACACTAAAAAATGTGCTTCTCTTTCTTTCTCTTTCCTGCAGCTTCCAGCTGGTGAGTAACTATCGAGCTACACTTAATCTACATGGCACACAAACTAAAGAGAGCGGAGAATTTACATTACCCCAGCAGATGCCCTAATAAATTTAGAAGTACCTTCATTATAAATAGTCACCCAAACACTTTAAGAAAAAGGAATTTGTAAGTTGGTACTTACCTTCTAACCTTAACTCAGCCTCCACCCAACACAGGCAGGGAACATTTAAACTTTAGAGCTGGGGGGAGTTTCCAGCAATACCCAATTAGAGAGAAAATCTCTCACTGCTGTTAAGCTGGCACCACCCAGCTTAAATATGTACATCTTGGGAAACTGCCATCCCAGACAGAGACTGTCTGTCCTTTTCAGTTTGCTGGTTTGACTCTGCCATGTGGGTAGCCACATAGTTTCTATGGTGGTCATCTATTCAAACTGCTTTCTTGGAGTTATTGGGGTGTTTTACCCAAATACAAGGGTGAGCCACTTAAAAACACTGAGAAAATTATATATGTTGCTGAGTCCTATTTAGGGTAACAGTAACCATTTAAACACTAACCACTGCAGGTTTTAGGCTTATTTAACTACTTAAGGGTAGTCCAAGTTTTTATTTTCGTTGCTGTACGGCACAGAAAAGGTACCTAAAGTATGAGATAACAATGTTCAATTGCTTTGAATTACAGTTTGCCAGTATTAAACTTAGTGATAATTTGGTATAAAAAATGGATGAGCAATTTATGTCACAACCACATGTCCTGAGGCAATAGCATTAATTTTGGAGATTGAGTGTACATGGCTAATACTCAGAGATGAAACAAACTATGATTTTCATACCCTGATCCCATGAAAAGTAACTGCTTCAGTTTTGCTATCTGCATTTCGGGTGAAAATACCGAAACTGGAAGTGGATGTGACCCGACACAAGGATGCCATAGCAGATGGGAAATAGAATTTGGGTGCCAAAGAGCAGTTTCTTTCCTCTAGCATAGACCCACATGTGATGTTACGCATCACTTCACACCCCTGCAGCAGACGTCAGTACAGCTAATCTGCACATCTGTTCAGAGAACCCACACTGTTATCAAAATTGTATTTATCAGTCTAAAGGCATGGTTGTACTAACATAATACCTCAGGATGGGGAATCTCAAGAAGAAAATCTCTAG